AGCTTAATTGTGAATCACTGATAACAGCTGTTTAGTTAACTCACCTTATAAAAGGTTCATCTAGGCTATATTTTCCTAGTTTGTTTTGAGAGGGTCATCTACTGCTTCTCTAGCCACAAAGCTTGTTACCCTGTCAAAGAAGGATATTAAGGTGGTTTAACTTTTTTCTTATCATCTTTATTTTCTTGTAGATGCTCACAATTTTTTTTATTTGCTCCCTTATCCTTCCCTGTGCAGAAGTTAAGCTAACTGATCTATTACTCTTTAGGCTTTTCTTTTTTAAATACATGAATATTTTATTTGCCCTTTTCCAGTCCTCTAGGATCTCCCCCACCCTCCATGAGTCCTCAAAGATAATCATTAGTGACACTGAGATCTCTTCAGCCTTAAGTTTCTAGAATATCTTCAAGTTTGCAGGGCCTGATGAAATAAATCTAACTTGTCTAAGTAGTTTCTTAACTTGATATTTTCCCATTCCTACTGTGTAGAGGGAGACTGCTGTTATGTGGTGAAAAAGGGGCCTGGCACCTGGTCTTCTGAGTCATGTCTATGTAAGGGGACTGTAGCCCCTTACTAAAACTCTGTGGGAGTTTTTGGTTCGCCAGCTCCCAGTATCAAAAGGGGAAGGGTCCATGAGACTGACAGACCCCAGAGACAATGGAAAGCAGCCAACACTCCAGCTCGGCCTGATTGACAGGTTGGACAGGCCAGTGAGGAAAGTAAGAGGCCAGGCCCTGTCCTCCTTGTGAGCTGGGATTTTTCTGGGTCTCTCTGAGCAAGGAGAGAACTGAGAGACAGCTAAGAGGAGCAAGCTGTGTGGAGAAGCAGTCCTGCAGCAACAGAGCCAGGCACATACAGCCCAAGGAGTGCAAGCTGTGCTGAGGGGCAGTTTTGCAGCAACAGAGCCAGGCACACAGAGTCCAAGAAGCGCAGACCCTGTGTTGAGCAGCAGACTGGCAGTACTCAGAGAGGCAAAAGGGATAGAGAAGCAACACAAGGAGCTGGAGACTGGCAAAGCAGCACAGCCTGCAGCTGGGTGTGGTGAGCAGCTGGGACCAGCAAAGTGCAGGGAGAGGCTCTGGGCAGGGAGATATCACCAGCCAAGAGGCCCAGCAGGCCAGACTGGGAGAGGGGTCTGGCCACTTAGAGCTTGAGTCTGTGTGGTCTCTGCCAGAGCAAGCATGTCCAGCCTGCAGCCCCCCTGCAGCACATCTAGGGCCTCTAAGGGGCCTATAAGGAAGAGACTGTGAACTGTCCTTACACTCTGCAGACTGCTGTTTTGATGTTCCGGTGCTACAGAGCAGGATTGTGTGTTCTCATTTACCCATTCTCATTTTTTCTTATTCTTTTCTCTTTAATCAGTTGATGTTTAATAAATTGTATTTGCTTTGAACCTTATGAAATGATCACTGGGCCAAGAAAGCAGGCAGTGTGAAGAGAGCACCTCGGAGTGGGGACACTCTAACTCCTGCCCCTAGTGACTACAAGGTCGGGGATTAAGCCCCAGGAAACCTGGGCCCAGCCTTGTTGGGGTTTCGAGGACTCTGCTACTCAGGAGAGTGGAGGGGGAGCCCTCAGGATCAGGGAAGCCATGGGGTAAAGGAAGTGGGAGCGGGGACTCAGATCCTTTCGCTGGTCCATTTCACCGTGGTGGTATAGAAGCCAGGAAAGTTCCCCACAATAGCGGGACCATTCCCCCGCTTACATCTACACTAAGCGATTGTTTTGAATTTACTAAGTTTGACTTCTGGGCACCCGATTATACAAATTTGAAGTTCCATGTCCTCACTAGGAAGAAGAACTGAATGTAGTCTGAGGCAGGCTCTGTTAATGTAGATGTTCTACCTCTGAGCCCCAGAAAGCACTCTGTGGTGCTGCAGGAATTCTCCTGGAGGCCAATGAGTTCAAATTAGCGGCCCCAGAGCATCCACACTAATGTTTTGTGGGACTTACAAGTTCAGGTAGAGTGTTATTTCTCATGAAAAACAGGATTCCAGGGTTCAAATTCTGCAGCCCCTTATTCTGGAATAATGGGCTTGATGGTGTGGATGCATTCCTTTCAAAATTGACCTTGGGGGAGCTAATTTCGGACTAACATCTTAGTGTAGACCAGGCCTTGCTTCCTAAACTGCCAGGCTATGTCTACACTAAGAGTTTTCTCGGCAAAAAATATGCTAATGAGGGACTCATTTGCATGAGCCGTGATCTCATTTGCATATTTTCTGCCGATCCGTTTTTTTCTCTAGGGTTTTTGTGCAAAAACAAGCAATGTGAATGTTTTCTTTTTGTGCAAAACCCCCTTTTCCCACAAGATTCTTATGCCCCCAAAAAGGAGGTTTACCGATCTGGAGGGAAAAGGGGTTTTTGCACAAAAAGAAAACAGCCACACTACTTTTTTTCCCCTGCAAAAATGTCTTGTATAAATTATGCAAATGAGGTATGGCGATATGCTAATCTGTGCCTCATTTGCATACTCACTGCTCACAATACCGGCAGTGTAGACATAGCCCCAGGGAAGAAGGGACTCCTCTTTTGAGACATTTCTGTTCTTCTTCTTCTAAAGTAGCTTTGCAAGCAGACCTCCTCTGTCCATTCTCTTGTAAGCTCCTTAAGGCCAGGACTATTTTATTTTGTGTTTTGCATGGCCAGTGATACCACTTTTGTTCTCACTTTAACAAATGAACAACTTATTTCCTTGTCCACTGCTCTTTGGCTGCTTGCTATGAAGGGAAGAGGAGGAGATGTTGGGAGAGGACAAAATCATTATCTTCTTCTCACTGCTGCAACAGAATCTGTAATTACAACTAAGGTTCTCTTTGAGGGGCAGGTGCTGATATTGTCCTAAAGCACACTCCACTAGGGATAGAATGCCCCAGGACAACATATGTACCGTAAAGGCGACTTAGTCCTCCTGTTGCTGCTATTACCATTGTTTTCTGATTGAAAATGTTAGCTTCACAAATTTGAATGCATGAAACCCATTTCCCTCAATAAGGGGATGATTTCACTCCAAGGGGGCTGCCCCTTCTTAGTTTCCCAAAGAGTGCAGCAACTCAAGATCACCATTATTTACTACAAATTTCAGAGAGGTAGCCGTGTTAGTCTGAATCTGCAAAAACAAGAAGTCCTGGGGCACCTTATATGCTAAGGCTACGTCTACATTGGACGCTTTTCGCGCAAGAGCGGCCATTCTTGCACAAAAACTTGTGGAGCATCTACATGGCACATGTATTCTTGTGCAAGTAAATTTACAGTAAAGCATTAGAAGAGAGGGCTTCTTGCGCAAGAAGGCAATGTGGATGGGCAATAGGGTTTCTTGTGCAAGAAACCCCTATGGCTAAAATGACCATCAGAGCTTTCTTGTGCAAGAGAGCATCTACACTGCCATGGACGCTGTTGCACAAAAGCACATGTCAGTGTGGGCGCACTTTTGCGCAAGACCTTGTGCAAACCAGTTCTTGCGCAAGAACCCTGTGGTGTAGACGTAACCTAACAGATTTATTGGAGCATAAGCTTTGGTGGACAAAGACCCACTTTGTCAGATGCATGTCAGCGTCATGAAATGCATCTGACGAAGTGCGTCTTTGCCCACCAAAGCTTATGCTCCAGTGAATCTCTTAGTCTATAAGGTGCAACAGGGCTTCTTGTTGTTATTACTACAAACAATATGTAATTCCCTATGTAATTGCCCATATAGGATCCAAGCTTTAAAACAGTGGGCCTCCCCCCCTCCCCGCTGAAAAACAGAGGCGACTGGGTGCAGGAGGGGAGCAATCAGTGCCGTCTGCTGGAGGAAAAGAGAGACTGAGACCCCCCCCCACACACACTAGCCCCCTCAATCACCCATCCCATTAGCCCAGATTCTATTCTGAGCCTGCCCTCCCGCCTTCCCTAATCTCGTTGACAACTGGCTGCCAAACCTGCAGGCTTGGCGA